CCAACGAATAACCAAGATCAAATGTGCAAGAAAACGCAAAAATTGAGGATCCGATTCCAAACCATTTTCAGCCCAATCTGCCATGATATTTACTAACTCGCGAAACTGATTAGTCATAARGTACTGCTGAATTTGACGTTTTGGTTTATGTGCTTCCTGACGTACTGCCAATTTAGGGTTGGATTTCAATTCAGCTACAATATCATCCAATGTCATTCTATAAAATTAATACATGCACATGCAGTTTCAAATTGCAGAAAAATTATTAAAAACAAACAAAAATCCTATTACTTATACTCCCAATATTTTTCAGGTAAACTTATAAAGTTGTTGGACTTGTGGGTTTGTATATGGCTTTCAACGGCTACGTTTACTATAGTATGAAGATGCGCCCATAAAATATCCTCCCATCGGTTACAGACAGGCAATACAGCATCAATGTTTCCACATAATATACCAATTGTAGCTCTCCAATATGGGGAAGTTTTATGATCTGATGATATTTTCCAAGCACAGACCTTCCAAACATCTCTACAATTTAAAATGACAAATATTATCATATGTGAAATAACAGTGTTTTAAGACTAATAGAGACAAAAAATAACTAAACACCTATTTGGATTCCCGAGTACTTCGTCTGTAGGCTTCTGTTCTTCTTTAGGTTTATAAAATGGATCATGATACAGCCGCCATCCTTCCAATATCGCTGACCTCCAAAACTGACCATACTGGCAACACAACAGTTCAGCCTTTTCTAATCGACCACAACGAATCTCAGTAAACACTTGGGTTAACAGTCTGTCATCGTCAACCTATTTAATAACATAATATGTTAGAAACTATTAATTACAATATATTAGGTAGTTTTAAAACCAATTTTTATGATRCTATTTTATTAAGGTCTATACTCTATAAGTAGATTAAAATAACAAGTATAAATCAATCACAAATAACTGAAATGAGTTAGTTTCAAACCATTCAAAATCAACGTAAACTATATTTTAAGAATTGATAATTACAAATTCAAAACGTTTTTTTAATTGTTTAATTTTTCATTTAGATTTAAATATGCAACACATTGATTTTTATTAATTCCATGGAAGTTTTAAGAAAAAGAACACTATGGTTCTACATATTAGCCATTCGAAAAAAATAAAAGGTCAAACACTTGACAAGTTTATTTTTAAAAAACTTTGTGACATCACTATTTAAACTTTGGATGATATTCAACATCCAAAGTTTAAATAGACAAGAGAGTTGAATGAGTTAAGGAAAGAATTAAAACTGAAAATTGTTTGTACTCTTAAAATACTCATAACTTGTTTTTAAAATTAAAATATAATAAAAAGCCTATGACATTACCTAGATAATAACCTTATCTTTAACACATTGACTGCGGATCACATGACAGTACACATTCAAATGTGCGGAAGTAAACATCCAAAAATAAATTTAAAATATTATAAACTTTAAATTGAGATATTGATATGCGACTTGCACACACGTATTAACAAATATGTTTAGATAATGCTGAGTGATATATTTGAGTGTGCATATTTGAACCATGCTAAATGATGCCAATTGGCATCATCAGCAGTGAACRTGTTAAATTGTATAAGTGCTTATCAATTAATTCTCTCTATTTTTCAAACTGAGTAAACTAAACATGATCTGAGCGTAAAATTTTCTGTTACGCTATTGTAAGACGGAGATAACAAATATCGGTAGAACATCCCATTAAGAGGATACCATACTTACATGCCTTGTCTGCATCTTACTAACACAACACATATAAAATTTTTTTAACATTTTAAAATGCTCATAACTTTCTTTAAAATCGAAATATATATATATAAAAAAACTAAACATCAAAATAATATTTTTACTTTTAAATTTGATGATATATCAATTCACTCTAAAATTATACATGACAAAGTTTAATTAATTCAGATTGTATATTTATTCAGAACGTATAATTTTTTATATTCTGCATTTGTAAGACAGACAGCAAATGCAGATATGACGTTCRCTCAAGACGATTAATTTTACATTTATTATACAACAGCTAATAATAATAATAATAAATGTTATAATAAGTAAGCATATATACCTGGTCAAGATCATGAATAGATCTTAATTGCCTGGTAGGTGCATCTGGATCTAATTGAGTGACCATAGCCCCAGAACTTTGATATATTAATTCTTTCTTCTAAAATCATATAATTCACATTACTTTATAAGTAAAGCTTTAAAATGTTAGTACTTTTAAATTGTAGAACCAAATTTAAATTATATTATACTGGGTAATTTTTTTATCATTGAATACTCATTATTTAAAAACCATAAATGATTTTTTTTTAATTGTTCAGATAACTTCTATTCGTTTACATAAAACTCAAATTTCATAAGAGTAGTTTTTGAGTTGTTAATATTTAAAGTATAATTGCGTAGAGTTGTAGTGGTTACCCCTTAAAATGTTGGTTATTATTTGCAAATATTAATGAATATAAATTTTTAATAAAATCCTTATTTTGTAGCGACTTGATATTATATCAAATAAATATGTTCAAAGAACAACAATACTTTTTGAATAATGAGTGTCCTATGATAAATTAATCACTTGATACTCAGATATATACCAGTAGTTGACCCAAAGTATTTGGCCAGGCAACTTCTTCATCAGAGAAGTGTTTTGCATCTTTCATGAATTCGTTTTCCATACTTTCAGCAGCACAATGCTCTAACCAATCGACAATTCTTTGTATCTGAATATAAATCAATTTTAAACATAATAGAATTAAATACTTACATTTGATAYACACTTTTTCATTATCTAAAACACAAATTAAAGTTACCCCTTTTAATTTCTGATCTTCTTTGAACAATGCATCTGCTAAATCTCGTTCACTAACTATATTGTCAACTTTTTCAGGCTCTAAATGTTGTACTTGAAATAGTGTTAATAGTAAACGCCATGTGTTCAATTCCTGTTCTAACCAATCTGCACGCTACAAGTACAAAAAGTAACATAATAAATAAAGTAGTTTAACAAAATTACATCTTTTTTTACTTGATTTTGATCTTTTAAAATGGATATGGTGTCTAGGCAGTTATCAATAAAGTATTGAAGAATTTCCAAAAGTTGTAGAGGTGAACTAATGCGAAACGCTTGAAGAACATCTAAAAACTGATTGTACAATCCATTTTCAGCTGATGAAATATATAATACAAAGTATTAATTATTACTTTTTACATTATTTAGGGACAATAATAACGATTTTTAATCTTACAATTTAATTTTGGTTGCGCTACAGTAGTATCAAATATAGCACTAAGTTCTCCAGGTGTTAATGAAACAGACAAATTGAACTGAGATTTTCTAAATTTCGATTTAGACAAATCATCAGTAAAATCTAATTGGGATTCATTCTGGCCTGTAAAAATACACAATATAGTAAAGATATGAAAATGAAAGGTTCTAATAAAAATATTAATCATTTCAATGTAATATATAAATGTATTTACTTGTGTCAAAATCAGCAAATATAGCAGCTCTTCTGGAATCATCCATATTTTATATTAGTATTTTTTTATATTAGTTTGTTTGGATAGTTAAACAAACRTCATTTAATTMTTTTCTGTGAGCAACGTTAGTCGAAAGATGATGAACATAATCAAAAACTCTATGACAAATAAAAATCGAAAACAGTTAACATTTACAGCGTTTTAACTTTTAACAGAATAGATAACACACTCGATTAGACGCCGGGAATCTAGAATCTAGATAAAAGAAGTAAAATTCTCTGATTGGTCATAATCAAATCAGTGTAGCTACATACATGTATCTAAATCATTGTACAGATTTCGTACAATGTTATTGTATGTCACTTTCATAGTTCTTAAGACAGACATAAACCAAAATTCAAAATAAATTAAATTCAACTTATTCTGTCCACCAGGAATGTAGGGAAAAAAAGCAACAGAAAAAAAATCCACGGAAAAAGAAGGCCAAGAAAAAAATCCAGGAAAAAAAAGTCACGGGAAAAATAATCCAGGGAAAAAAAAGCCATGACAAAAATAAGCCACGGAAAAAAAGCCAAATTACAATAATTAAATATATATATATCAAATAAAATTAAAGAATTGAATTTTATTATTTAAAAATTGTTTACACATTATTATTTATTTATTATTTTTTTTTTTTTTATTGATGTTAATAAAACATTGGCTTCTGTGGCCATTATAGTTTACAAATTTACAGTAATTTAAAATTAGTTAACAATTACAATATTATATCTACATTGTAGAATTAAGGGCTTAAATAAGGTTGTATAGCTGAATTTCTTTTATAAACTGAAGGATGTTGGAGATTGATTGGGTGTCAGGTCCTAACGCTTCTCCGATTTGTTGAGATATGTCGTATTTTTTCCTCGTGTCATCATAATATTTTTGGCATTCAGTAATAATGTGTTTTACTGTGAAGTCCACTCCACACATTTCGCATATGGGGAGATCATTTTTTTCCATAAGGTGCCTGTGTGTGGCCTATTCTTAGACGATTTAATATGGTTTCCTCTTTCCTATTTAGTCCGGGGTTTTGCCAYATCTGTGTGTTGTTTTTTATTTGGTTTAACTTAGTATGCTGGTTAGTCCATTGTGTGAGCCATTTTTGGTCTAGGACTTGTTTGATTTGTTTTTTTTTGTCTTCATATGTGTATATATTGAGTAATGGGGTGTCTGGGGAGGAGCCAGCTTTTGACACTTCTAGGTCTGCTTTTTCATTACCTTGTATGCCGCAGTGTCTTACACATTATTGGTTATATTGTATACATATATATATATATATATTAATACATAGGTTATATGTTATTATTTATTATTATTATAGTAATAAATATATTTTAGATTCTAAGCAGCAATGAATGTATTGATTTTATTAAACAAAAAGTTTAAATTAAAATTATATATTTATTTATTTATTTCAAGATAGCATGTAGTTCTGCATAATACTGCAACATGTACATTTAAAAAAGAATCAACCTGTACAAAGTTATACATTATACTTATACATATCTAGGGTGTAAGACATAAATCAATTAATTTCAAGATAATATC